CCCCCCCCCCCCCCCCCCTTTCTCCCCCCCTTCCTCCCTCTCCCCTCCCCCGTTCCCTCTCCTTCTCGTGACAACCTTATCTCTTTTTCGCCCGGCAGCCTACCGTCTCATGCTTGGGCGGTTGCGGCGCGATCTACTGCGGCGAGGACTGCCGTCAGAGGTGCTGGGACTCGGGGCACTCCCTCCTTTGTCTCGGCCTCGTTGACGATGAGCATCACCCTCTCGTTCGTCACAAGGTTGGTACAGCCTTCTCTTGCCACGGCTTTGGGACGCCATTTTTTATGGGCACTCCCCCGGTGAAAGACGCCTTATTTGCACGGTGCAAAGGGCCCCGCAGATTGTGCGAAATAAGAGCAAGGGTATGTCGGAGGTCACCGCGACGTCTTTTCGTCAGAAAGTAGCTTGGCATCGTTGGTTGGCTTACAGCAACGGACAGCACTTTTGTTGTGTGATGATTTTCTTTATCTTCCCTAGACTACACATTTGCACCCACCTTTGATCTGACTCTGACGACAGCTGTTGTTGTGGTGGTTGTCTTGCTCCTGTTCCTACGACCCCCCTCCTCGTTAGGTCCATGCTCTCGCTCACCCGGAGCTCGAGATGCCCCTCCTCCTGGCCGTCGCGCTGATCGTGCAAGCCGCTCAGGCGGTCGCCCGGGCCCACCGCTGCACGTCGGTGGCCGCATCCACGGCCTCCCCCTCGTCTCCGGATAGCGATGCCGCCACCCCCCCCTCTCCCTCCGCTGCTTCCGCCCAACGGAAGTCGGCGATAGAAGAACGCCGGCCGGGTCCCCCGCCGGCCACCACCGTTCCTGCTGCCGCCGCCGCCGCTGCCCTGAGTAAACGCAGTGCTGCCTGCAACCACGGCGGGAGAATCGCTGCCGCGGTCTGCGGTACGGGGGACGCCTCCCCGCCGGCGGCAAGATCGAACAGTGTTGTCGGCGGCGGCGGCGGCGGCGACGGCGACGGTGGCGAGGGAAACGATCAGCCGCCGGCGCCTTGCGGCCCGACAAGCCGGGCCGAGCTCGAGGCCGCCGCGGTGAGGGAGATAACGGAGGCGTTCCCCCGGGGATGGATCGCCGACGTCTCGCCCCCCGCGGCTGCGGCGGCGGCGGCGGCGGCGGCGCCGGTCATCAGAGAGTCCTGGACGCTTCTCCTCGAGGCGTTGGAGTCGAAGGTCGTGTCCGGCGGGACGGAGGCGGGGACGGGGGCAGTAGCAGCACTGGTCGAAGAGGGAGGGGGACCTGGGGGTGGTGCCGTCCTGATCGACCCCGGGAGTTTTCCGCTGCTGCTGGGCCGCCGTTTCCACGAGAGCGTTGTCAGGGGCCTCGCGGCTAACCTGTTGGAGGTGGAGGTGAGGGCGGGGAGTGGAGACGCTTGCTTCGCACGCGATGTTTTGAATCTTGTCGGCGGATTGATTTGTGTGTGGTAATGATTTGGGCACCTGAGGGCTTCGGGAGGCGGGTGTGTTCGGTCGGGCTACCTGCTGTGTGCCCGCCACCCTAGTGCGTCACAGACAAGTTTATCTCCCGCATCGGCTTGTGATAGCGAGCGGAGACAAGTTCAAGAGGCAATATGCTCGGGATGAGTTGCCCTCGTTTTCCCACCGGTGCACGTTGTCGAAAAGCGGTACGATAGCCCAAGGGTTCTAGGCCCCCAACGTCATTGTTCTTGTTCGAGCCAACACAAGAGGAGAAAAAGCTCTTGGCGTATGTTGTGTTTGGGCCAGCGAGCTCTGGTTTTCGTTGAGAGGTTTTGCCGAGCTCTCCTCACCCCCCCCACCTCCCCTAAGCCGCTCTTATTCATCGTGTTCCCTCGCTTCCTTTCCCCCCTTTCCCCCGTCGTGATCTGCGTCTTCCTGTTCTATCTTTGTCTCCTCCGCCCCCCCTGTCTGTCCTGTCTTCTGCCTGTCTGTCCGTCTGTTTGTCTATCTATCTATCTCGCTATCTGTAAATCCGTCTATCCGTTTGATCTTTGTACCTCGTCTCTCAACCCCCCCCCCCCCCCCCCCCCCCCCCCCCCCCCCCCCCCCCCCCCCCCCCCCCCCCCCCCCCCCCCCCCCCCCCCCCCCCCCCCCCCCCCCCCCCC